TCTCTGTCTCTCTCTGTCTCTCTGTCTCTGTCTCTCTCTCTCCTCTCTAAGCATCTTAAGATTCCATTAACTTCTTTGATCACTCAAATGAAATACAATGTGTATGAAGCACTTTGCCACCCAAGTAAGTGCTATATGAGTGTTCGCTATCATCTCACTCCTTTCTGATGACTGAGTTTTTCAGTGTGTTTAAAACCACTAAATATTCTTTCTGATAGACTCTTGGCTAGCTCTGCCTCCTACACCTTGGGGTTTAATTTCTTGTACTTGAATATAAGAATTTGCATTTATCCCTATTAAATTTCATCTCGTGAGCTCTGGCCCCATCTCAAGGCTGTCCAAATATTTTAAAATCTTGATTCTGCTATCCAGTGGTAGCTGTCCTCCTAACTTTGTAACATCTGCATATTTGATAGAAATGCCATCAGTGCCTTTGTCTAAATCATTGATAAAAATGTTAGATACCACAGGGCCAAGCACAGATCCCTGGGGCACTCCACTGGAGACCTTCTTCCAGACAAACATCAGTCCATTACTGACTCCTCTGTGGCCCCGTCACTTAACCAGTCCTTCATTCCCTCAGCGATATTGTCACGTGCTCCCATCTAGTCTACCTCAAATCTTGGTGAATGATCCCTACAGCATTGTGCTGAGCTATCATTCTAATCTTTATGTCAGGGCCCTGCTGTGTCCTGGGTGTGCAAGCTCCCATTTGAGGAATTTCCTTTAGCAGTCCTGGCTGGAACCTTTCTAGAAGTTAAAAGTCTTGGAGATGTGTCTGAGGCTTATAGGGATTCAGAGATTTGTCCTTGGTCCCTTGGCTAATGTCAGAGTCAGGGTTTGAATCCTAACCAGTCCAGGGGAGATGCACTAGGCCACACTGCTTCTTCATCAATTTAGTAACCCTGTCAAAAATGGAAAAATGTTAGTCCAACATGACCTGTTGAAGTCATGCAGGCACTTTGTGATCACTGTTTCCTTTTCTAGATGTCTTCTAGCCATCCCTTTTATAATCTCTTCTAGAATGTCTTCAGAAATCTGAATTAAGCTCACTGCCGTCTCCATTTTCTTTCCTTTTTTTTGGGAGACCAGGCCCACATTTGGCCTTCTCCAATCCTGTGCTCCCTCTCCTGTTTTCCTCCCATGGCCTTTCAAAGATCATGGATGCTGCCTCAGTAGCCACATCTGCCAGTTCTTCTGGGGCCCAGGTCACTGGAATGCATCCTACAAAGCTCCAAACCATAGGAGACCACCTGTCTTTCCTTCGAACCTTCTGAGATCTACCCTTCCAAAATGTAGGCTGTCTGTCCATTGCTCTAAAGATCCTAGGCAGAGAGGTCGTCTTCTCCCAAGGTTCCCATCCTTTCCATTCCAGAAGCTAGTTAGTGGATTTGAAGCTGGAAGGGGCCTCAGGTCATCTGATCCAGCTCACACTCCCATTTTATAAATGAGGAAACCTGGGCCCAGAGGGGAATTGACTTGCCCAAGGTCTCAGGGGGGAGCCAATGTAAGAGCTAGGATTTGAACCCAGGACTTCTGACTCTAAATCCAGTCCTCCAGCTCCTTCATTTTGCATATGAGGAGACTTGAGCCCAGGAAAGAGAGGTATTTTGCTTGAGATCACATGGTTAGCCACTGACACGGGCAGGTCTGCCGCCTGGGTCTCCCAGCTCTCTTGATCCCCTTTTCTTTGCACTTGACCTTTTAAATTGCATATGAAATTATCCAGGAAATGGAAGCCATGGGCTCCCAACTAAGAGCTTTACCTCTTAGGAGATGACTCTGAGAATCTCCTACCTTCATTCTTACCATTAGTCCTAACAAACAACATTGCAGCCATGGCAGACCCCGCTCACGACTGCCCAGTGAGCATCCGACAATGAAAGCCCACCAGACCAAGAGAATTTCCTGTCTCATCCCTCGCCTAAATCCCATATTCTGAAGCCATACAACTCGGGTGCTAGCATTACTCTCTCTGACTGCCTGTGGAAGGGAGTAGGGAAGGAAGACAATAAACAATGATATAGCAACTGCTGTGTATCAGGCACTGCGTTAGAAGCATTTTTTACCAAGATTTCCTCATTGGATCCTCAAAACAACCCTGTGAGGCAGGTGCTGCTGTTATCCCCATTTTACAGCTGAGGAAGCTGAGGCAAACAGGTGTAGTGACTTGCTCAGGGTCGCACAGCAAGTAAGTGTGTGAGGCCAGAGTCGAACTCAGGTCTCTATCTGCCTCACCACCAGGCTGCCTCAATGGGACGCATCTGAGCCCCATCAGAAAGGGAATGGAATACAGCCTGGGTGTGAGTGGACTTGATGTAAGCTGCTGAAGTGAGTGTGGAGTATAGAAAACCACAAAAACTCTCTCCTCTTTATACTCCAAATTCTTTGTCCTACTCGGGCCTTGAAGGGAAAGCGAAGGTAAGCGATGTTAGGCTAGCTGAAGAGGAAAGGGAAAAGCGATGGGGGTGGGGAGGAAGGGAACGTCTGTCTCAACACGCAGCTCAGTGGTGGGGTGCACTTGGTGCAGGACTGAGTCAGGATGTCCTGGGGAAGTCACTTCACCGCTGTCTGCCTCAGTTTCCCCACCTGTAAAACGGGACTAAAACAGCACCTACATCCCAGGGTTGCTGTGAGGATCAAATGTGTTAACGTGTCAAGTGCCTTGCCAACCTCAAAATGATAGATGCTGGCTGTTGGGATTACTGTAATACTCCTACTAGCTAGCATTTACATAGCACCTACTGTGTGCCAGGCACTGTACTAAGCGCTTTACGAACATAATCTCATTTGATCCTCACTACTAATAGTAACCCTACTGTTATTATCATTAGCATCTCAGCCTTGCTGCAAAGCGTCAGTCAGTGGTGCCAAAGGAAGCGGTGGGGTCCTTCATGTTGGTAAGAATCAGATCCAGAGTAAAATTTTCCCTGGTGGTTTTCTCAGTCCTTCGAAGCATGGAATTGTCATTAAGGCAAGCCAAGAAACGATCAGCCGCTCTCTCTTTGACAGGAAGTACTACAGATGTGTGGTGGTTGGAGTCCCTCCGTGGCTCGGCTGTGGAGCCTCTGGCCAGGCCGGCGAGGTGTTTTCTTCCCTTCTCATCTCTTCCCTCTGTCCAGGCTGTCCTCGCATTGCAATAGTGCTTCTCTGTGCCTCCTCTGGTCTTCCCCCGAAGGCTTCCCCTGCGGTTCCTGGAGTGCCATATCTTAAGATGCAGGGTTCTTTCTTCCCCGTTCCTTTTGCCTCCCCTGTGTATCTGGAATCAGCTATGTCCTTCCAGAGCCTGATCCCAGCTTCAGACTCCACAGACTCTGAGCAGGCGGGATCTCTGGTTCATTTTGTTATCCAGTTCTCTGAGGCAGGAGGTTTGTTTGCTTGGATCTTTCTTGGATCTTGGCTCCTGTGAACTTCTGGGTGCTTCTCCTGCTGCGCTTCCTACTTCAAAACTACACTCTCTTTGTCATAGAGAGGCAGGTTTCTCCCCACCCTGACCCCTTCCTCCTCTGCAATTTCAAATCCTCTGTCTAGATCTTTAAGATTGCTCGCAATTCCAGATGCCCAGCCTCTGTTGGTGCTCTCCATCCACGGCCAAGGGCCTGTCATTACTGAATTTTAAGCCATGGATCAAAAATCCAAATCTTCTTGAATGGTCATTCACGTCCCAAATCTGCCTCTCTCTTCTGAAACTTTTGCCTTGGATCAGCATCAGCAAGGAGAATGCCACCTCTGACTCAGGGCCGTTCCCTTCTTGCAGCAAACTTCTGGCTGTATCTCTGGCAGCCACAGGAACTAGACCAAATGGATAGCGGGTATCTTCTCTGCCTCCTCTGGGAAAGGCCGTCCTCCACCTCTTTTCTTCTTCCTCTCACCCTTCTGCCCACAGCTTCAAGGACCCCATGTATATCATTCCTTATCAGGAAGAGCTTCACATTCTGGTCACTGGTCCTTCCTTCTGTCCTCTTCCACCTCCCTCCCCAGTCTTCTGGCACAGGTCAGGAGTCCCCTCTGCTCCATCCGGTCCTCTTTCCTGTCTGTTATCACATTCAGGCCTTTCTGCTGTTTTTTGTTTTGTTTTGTTTTTAAGAAATGCTTGATTTTCCTTAATAAACTCAAGAGAGGATAGACATTCCTAAACCTCTTTTACCTTCTCTGCTAAGAGAGGAACAGTCAGTACTTTGTCCATGACTAACAGTCACTTAATCTTAACAGGAGTACAGACATCCCATACTTTGTGCAGGTCATCCATCCTTGGTGGAAGTGAGATCCCCAGTCCCGATGGCTCTCTTGAGTAGCTACCTGGAAGACGGTTGTCACAAACCTGCTGAATGTCACCTCCTCTCATTAGCACCTTGGCATCCACAGCCAGCTTTCTTCCCTGCTCTCACCAGGCTCTCCACCACTTGGTTTCCTTTGTCTTTGTCTTTTTCCTTTTGTTCCTGACCCTCCTCTTCAGTTCTCCCTCGGGCCCTTGCCTTCCCCTAAGGCTCCCCTTCCCCAGGTCCTTCCATCCTAGCCTTCCACCTCCTCCTCCTGCCGAAATTTCTTCTCACCAAATTCGATTCTTGGCCTTCTTTCATGTTACAGAGCCCCCCAGACCACCTTCACATCTCCTTCTGCGTCAGCTCAAATCCTTCTTCCACTTCTTCTCTCATGTTCCCTGCCGCAGAATCTAGAAGTGAAATTATAATCTCTCAACCCCCCTCGACTTCTTCAAACTCTGGCTCTAGATCTCCATTTGGAAAATGGAGCTGGAGAGATGACTGCATTCTACAAGCATCACAGAATTTAGAGCTAGAAGGGACCATGAAGGCCATCCATTTCATTCCTCTCATTATATAAGGTGTCCCAAAAAGTCTTAGCGAAATTTTTAGACTCTTGAGACACCTTGTACAGATAGGGAAACTGAGGCCCACTAGGCCACTCCATAGAAAGTAGCATAGCTACAGAATCTAGTCCTCTTTGCATTGCCCCAAGTTTGGCTTGCAGTCTGGCTTGGGGGCCAGATGGGTTTCAGGAAAGTGAGCACCCCAGAAGAAGATGAAGACAGCAGCTCTGAGGAGGGAAAGTGAAGACATGTCCTGTTGCCTCAGCCCTGGAGTGCAGAAGGGCTGAGGGAGGGGGTGGACCAGAGAGACACATGTTGTCTGGTCTAGATCTCGTGGTGTTGCGGTGAAGGCCCTGATCTCGTTGTGAATGTCCTCCCCAGGGTAGGGGACACTAGTAGGAGGTTCATTTTACAGAATCTAGGAGGAGACAATTTAGCCCCATGATGCTGAGGAGAATGCAGATTTGACAAGTATAATTGGAGTTGTGAGGGAAGGACCCCAGTTTCTTTCTTAGGGGTGTGAGAGCTGCTAGAAACGGGTGCTCCCTCCCTGCTTAGCAGCCATGGCAGAGCCCAGTGTCTGGGGCTGTGGGGTTACTCCACATGGATGGCCCTGGGGAGCAGGGGTGGGCTGGCTGAGGAGATCTAAGTGAGCTGAGTCCTGATGACTGTGCAGGGAAGCTGAGCCATGAGCTCATTGTGCTGGCTAAGCATTGTCAGCTTACTTTGGGGTTCAGAGAGGGAGCCTGTTGGGAACACCTCGCTGTGACTAGTCGCCTTCCATGTGGGTGAATCAGTGGGTGTCATTCATGTCTATGAATCAGGCCTGCCCCACCCTTCCCCACAGGCTGCAGTCTCTGGGGCGAGGCCTGCTCTGGGCCTTGATCTGCCATCTTGCTGGGAACTTTCCACACTAGATTGGGCGTGACACTCCCTGGGTGAGCTCAGCTCTCTTTCCTGGACCCAGCCTATGGTGTCTGTCTTGGATTATTGTGTGGCAACTGTTACTCTAAGGGCTCTGGGAAAGGAACAGGGGGTGTTTAGCCCGGAGAAGAGAACTTGGATGGATGGTAGTCAGGCAGGAATCAATAAGCATTTATTAAGCACTTACTGTGTGCCAGGCACTATCTGTAATTAGAGTCTTCAGCATCTGGAGAGCTGCCATATAAAAAAGGGATTCTACTTGTTCTGTCTGTATCCAGAGAACAGAATTAGGAACTTTGGGTACAAGAGGCAGAAAGGCATATTTTGGTTCAAAGTAAGGGAAATCTTTGAAGGATGAAAGCTGTCAAGAAATGGAATGGGCCGCCTTAGGCAGTGGTGAGCTCCCTGCCGTGGAGGCCTTCAAGGGAACACTGAAATTCCAGTTCCAGGGCAGTTTGGTTTGCGTGACCTCTGGGTCCCCTCTGGCTCTGAAATTTTGCGCTTATACCAAAGGGGTTCCTAGCCTAGGGTCCAATGGGATATGCTAGAAGAGGGAGACTCAGCCAGGCAGGGCCCAGCCTTCTCTGTTGGCCTGGAGAGAGACGGCAATAACCCTTCCCTTCTCACCTCCTTTCTATAGAGCGGTTCGACCACCACTGCCCTTGGGTGGGCAACTGTGTGGGAAAACGGAATTACCGCTTCTTCTATGCCTTCATCCTCTCCCTGTCCTTCCTGACCTCCTTCATCTTTGCCTGTGTCATCACCCACCTGACTCTGCGTAAGTAGAAGGGTGAGGCGGGGAAGGGGCTGTACTGGACCAGGGCCCTCTGGCCGCTGCCCCTCTGCATTCATCTCTCTCTGCCTTTTTCTCCTCCTAGGTTCTCAGGGAGGCACCTTCCTTGACACTCTGAAGGAGACACCAGCAAGATATCCTTTGGGGGCAAACTGTTAGAACCTATTTTTTACCCAGGCCTGGTCCCTCATTTTGTTCCCTTCCTGTGCTGGGTGAAATGGGTGTGCCCACCTGCATGCCATCTATCTGGTGCTTGTCTGCAGCATTTCTATAGGGTATGGAAGATGGCCCAGCGGGCAGGGCATTGGACCTGGAGTCAGGAAGACCTGAGTTTAGATCCCACCTCAGACTAACTGGGTGACCCTGTGCGAGTCACCAAAAACAAACAACAACAACAAAACTCCATCTGCCTCAGTTTCCTTATCTGCAAAATGAGCAAAATAATAGCACCTATTTCTCAGGGTTGTTGTGAGGATCAAATGAGATAATTGTACAATACTTTACAAACCTTTGGGTGCTATATAAATGCTAACCATTGGTATTATTGTTACTACTGTAAGTACACCTGTGATGATGGTGACCACTGCAGCTGCTACTTGAGGTTGCATTTCCTACATCCCTGTGAAGTGTCAGGCCTTGTGTTTGCTGGCAGGGGTAGGGGGAGAGCCAGGACTCAGAGGAGACGGTTTGTAAAGAAATGGGTCTCTTAGAATACCCAGTGCCTTAGAACACTCTGTACCCAGAGTTCTTCCCATTTTAAATCCTAGGGAGCCCAGAATCCTTCAGGTGTCCCCCTTGCTGGCCTCAGTCTAGTGTTAATCACTACAGAAAAGGGAGAGACGGTAAAGGGAAGATTTGCGTGTCTACATTATTTTATTAGAGAAACTAATAAAATGGAGGGGAAGGATGGGAGAAGGTTGAAGGGTAAGAAGGTCTGAGTCCTAGGGCTGTGAGAATTTCAGCAACTGAGGTAGATTCTGTTGGGGGGTTGGGGTAGAGGCAGAAATCCAGGGACATACCAACAACTGTTGCTTGAAAGGATGAGTGAAGACCAGCAGGGTTCACAATTGCCACTCCCTCTGGGCATCCTTTGTAGCTGGGGTCCCCAGACCAGGAGGTATGCAGTAGTGGGGAGAGGCAGGCCTCAGAAGAGAGGCCTTATTTCAACAGGCCCCTTGGTTGGTTGGGGGAGGCAGCCTGAAGCAAGATGGCAGTCTTCCTTCCCAAAGCAAGTCCTTTTTGTCCCAAGGCCCTTGGCCCTCTGCTACCTGACACAGCTGTCCAGAAAGGAAGCACGCCTTGTCAGGACCCAGAGGAAGAAGTGTGCCCCCAGGCACCCTGGACAAAAGCCCTGGTCACCCCAGACTAGTTATTGTTCTGCTTAGGGTCTCAGAAATGGCCATACTAGAATAGCCCCTTCTCATAGCATCAGGTCCCTGGGTCCCTGGTCCCTTGAGAGTGGCTGCAGGCCAAGCCTCTCATCGAGAGAGCTATCTGCCCACAGGCGCCCAGCATACCTGTGTCTTGTGACACCGGCTCCCACTCTCCCCCTTATGTCGCTTGTGCCACTTCTCAGAGGTGAATGTCTGTACCTGCCTGCCTGTCCCCCAGCCCTGCTTTCTCCCCGCTCCCCCTGAAGAACGTGGTTTCTTTGACGCCTCCTCACTGTGCTGGAGCTGGTGATTTGCTTCTTCTCCATCTGGTCCATCTTGGGCCTCTCAGGGTTTCACACTTACCTCGTCGCCTCGAACCTGACAACCAATGAAGACGTGAGTATAACTGGGGTCTGCTTTGTGTGCCAGGTGGGAGAGGATGGGTTATTGTCAGGTGAGTGAAGCCCCCGTACTGCGCTGCAGGGATGGCAGGGCTGACGAAGCCAGAGGAAGCTGGTGGGAACGTAAGAGGCAGTCCAGACCCCTGCACCGAGCAGGAGTCTCTTTCACCACATTGGCCACAAGTGGGCACCCAGCCTTTGCTCAGAGGCCTCCTATAAATAGGAATTTGTTATCTGCAGGGCAGCCCATCCCTCTCTGGGACAGCCCAGCCAAGCCGGAGTCGTCTGTGCCGAAGCTTCCACCCACTGCTCCTAGTCCCACAGGATCCCTGTGAGCCCCCTCAAGCTGGCTAATCCCCCTCCCAGTGACAGCCCGACAGATCCTTGAAGAGTTGGTCTGACCTACACCCCCTCCCCAGGCTTCTCTGCCTCCTTCAGCTATGACCTGTGGGACAGCATCCAGGCCTCTCCTCTGTGGCGCTCACCTTCCGAACGCCTCGTGCTGGATATGGGCCGACCAGGGCAGAGGCCAGCAGCACTTGATGCCAGCTTGATGTGTGAAGCCTCTGTGTGTCAGCTTCCTATGGATGAGCCCCTGTGACCCCAGCAACGCAGCACCAATTGTACAAAGAGCTTTGGGGCCTTTCATGAGAAAAGCCAGCCTTGCCCCAGCTAGGACCTTGGATTTAGAGCCTCAGACTTGCCCAGGAAAGTAGTATAGTGGAAAGAGCATTGGATTCAGGCAGAGAGACCAGCACAATGTTCCTGGGCCTCAGTTTCCTCATCTGTAAAATGAGAGGGTTGGGTTTGCCTCCTTCCAGCTGTCAGTCTGTGATCCTGTTTTCCAGGCTCATCCAGGAGTCTCTATAACCTACCATCTGGCCTTTGTCATAATAGCAATAACTCGGGGAGGAAAGCCCCCAGCACCTTGAGTAGCCTTCTGTGGTAAACTCTTGGAAGGACATGGACAAGAGGTGTTTGCCCAGGAGAGGTTACAGTCTGCATCATGAAAGAACTCCTCACGTTTTTATAGTGCTTGAAGGTTTACAAAATGCTTTCGCCACAAAAAAAAACAAACCCTAAATGCAATATCACATTTCTTTTACAGTTAAAGAAACTGAGGCTCATCAAGGGTCTTGCTGTCTTGGGTGGGTTCAGGTTACCAGGGCCACATGAACTACTGCATCCTGGGGCTCTGAAAGGACAGGCAGATGAGATCGCTGAGCCACTGTGAGACATCTTTGAAAAATGGCGGTGAATGGGAGAAGCATCACACACCTAGAGAAGGGCTAATGGGCCAGTTTTCAGAAAGGCAGAAAATGGAGTTTGCAAGTTATAAGGCCATGACAATTTCTTGTGCGGTTCTTAAGGAAGAGGGCAAGATTTTACAATTAGTTTAATGGCTAGAACCCAGGAAGTGTCCTGAGTGGTTTGACAGCAGCTTGGAAGGAGCTCTCTATGGGATCTGGGCTTGGCCCCACACTCCTTAATACTTCTGTCATTTGCTTGGGTAAAGGACAGAGGTCCACAAGTCCCCAAACCAGGAAGAAATAGACAACACATGGGCCAACAGTCTTCCAAACTCTCTTGATAGCCTAGCACACTGGGCAGAATCAGATTGGGTGACGTTTAATAGATATAAATGCACAATGTTATCCTGGGGCTCAACAAAGTGGGTTCACAAGTACAAGATGGGGGAGAAGGCAAGAGCCAGAGTTTTAGCAGACAACAAGGTTACTGAGTCAGCAGTGAGGTGTGGGAGCCAAGAAAGCTAATGGCATCTTAGACTCCATTAGAAGAGGTTTAGTGTCAGGGGCTAAGTGGACGATGATCCCACACTCCCCTGCCCTGGCTGGGCCATAGCTGGAGTCCTGGGTACAGGGCTGGGGGCTACCTCTTGAGAAGGACATTGACAAATTAGCGAGTGTCCACAGAAGGGTGGCCAGATAGTGAAGGACTCTGAGCTAGATGAAAAGAATTCTAATTCCGTTATGAAGATAGTAAATATTTTTGTGGAGGTTTAAGGCTTCCCTCAAGGTAGGAAGTGCCAGTATCCCCATCTTACAAATAAGGAAACTGAAGCATGTGTAGGTGAGAATGATTTTGTCATATAGAAAATAGCCCTAGCTGGCTTTGCATGTTTTGGGGTTAGTTTGGGCTGTGTGGAGCAGAACTGATTCTCGCAGCCAGTGGAAATGAGCCAGTCCTGGGCTGTCTAGGCCCTTATGGGAGGAACACCAGCTTTGGTCAAGCCCACCAATCCAGAAGAGCTTTGAGAATGGCCTGGTGATGGACTTGGATATCTATGGTCTAAGCACCAGCTTAGCCCAATTTGGAGAGGCTCACCCCCAGGTTGGCCTTAAGGTGATGGGGCCTCTTTTGAAGACTGTGCACTAACATTTGGTGGTCTGACTGCTGGTGGAGGGTGACCTGGATGGTTGGTTACAAAACATTCCTGTGTTTCTCATTTGGTCCTCCCACAACAATCCTGTGAAGTAGGCTAGGCAGATTGTATTATTCCCATTTTACAGATTAAGGTAGGTAGGGCCTGAATCCTCCAGAGAGACCTCTGCTAGCTGTGTGCCTCCAGGAGGTCAAAGAAAGAGAGACGCCCAAAGAGTCTTAGGAGTTCTTTTTTGGTAGCAGAGCTGGAAAGAAGGTGGGTGCTCATTGATCAAGTGAAGGCATCACTTAAAAAAAGAAAGAAATGGAGACCTAGAACATAGATTATAAGTTATTCAAACTAATGAGAAGTCAAATGGGAATTCCCCGTCCCCAGCCCATGATCCCTGCCTCCCAGGGTCTTACTACACTCACGTGGGGAGGGGAAGGAGAAGAGCCCCAGAGGTTTGAGGACATAGAGGCCGGTCAGCCCAGACACTAAAAGCATCTCTGACATCACACAGAACAAGCCCAGTGCTGGTCCTCCTGAGGCTTCCACTCTGCCTGGGAAGATGAGATCCAGAGGTCCACCCATTCCTGAGTGCACACACCCACTTAAGTGGACCCATCAGTTCCTCTGGGACTCAGAGGAGGGGGAATGGTACCTGGTGCCTGGAGGGGAGGACACAGGGAAGGAAGACTTGAGTGGAAGGAGCTGGGCTCCTGGGTATCAGTGTGGTGGCCGGGGTTGGAGAATTCTGTAGCAAGGCTTCTCTGAGGCTGTGAATGTCTGCTGACTGGTTCTGTTTCCTTCCTCCTCATATCATCACTGTGCCCACCTCACTCCTCACACTACCTTTCCTCAGACTGACCCCCTCTTGCCTCTGTACAAACACACACAGGGGTAGGGTAGGACCCCAAAGCCCACCCTCCCTGAGTGGCACATGAGTTTGGAGTTGGCTTGTTAGGTACCCTTCCCCCCACCTCTGCTTTAACTTGGCCTCTTCTACTTACAGATCAAAGGCTCGTGGTCCAGTAAGAAAAACATGGAGGCTTCCACCAACCCCTACAGCCATAAAAGTGTCGTTGCCAACTGCTGCGCTGTGCTCTGTGGGCCTCTGCCCCCCAGGTGAGCAGCCCTGCCTGAAGCCTGGCCCCCCACCCCCACCCTGAGGCATCCTGGGCCTCATACTTACAACCTGGGGCCTCTGCAGCTTTCCCAGGCCCTCACCTCAGCCTGGCAGCCAGGCAAGGCCAGGGCCCTGTCCCAGGATGAGGGAGCTAGAGGGTCATGGAGACCCGGAAGGGGCTATGGAGACCACCAGCTCCAACCTCTCTTTTTTCAGAGTGGGGAACTGCAGCTTAGGGAGGGAGAAATAACCCAAGACCACACAAGAAATAAGTAGCGAACTGGGCTCTGCTTATCCAGTGTTCCTCTCCAGAGACGGGGGGCGGAGCAGAAGCAGGGAGTCTTGGTCATCCTCTGGGGTCAGAGGTCCTTTCCAGAAGTTTTTGTATAAACGCCTTATACCTGCATAGGGCACTTGCTACCTAAAGCAGCTCAAAGAGGGGTTCTTTTATGAAGTGAAGGACCAGCCACAGCTTACCTGTCGTTAGGATGGACATACTGGCATGCTTAGCTGCCCAGCTAAAGTTGCTGAGAGCTCGCTGCTGATTTGGGGGGTGTGGTGGCTAGGCGCTGCCAGCCTGGGGTGCGAGAGGCAGGGTGGCTGCCCTGGCTGGAGCCCCTGATCTCCCCTTAACTAGAAGCCAGGTCACAGGGCCATCTCATCACCAGAGGGAGCTGGTGGGTAGCACAGGGTATGAGTGGTCCAGCTGGCTTGGCTGGGTGGTAACTGATCCCTCTGCTGGCACAGCTGCCCGGGTGAGTGATCATGGTCCCGTCATCTCATCCCCTTCCCTGGACTTCCTCTCTGCAGTATGACCTAGATGTGTCTCCAGTCCTTCCTAGAGGAGAGAAGGCACAGAAAGCTGAAGCCTGTCTCTATGCCCAGCTCTCACTTTAACCATTGCTTTAGGGCAGTAGAACTCAAGGCTAGAGAAGCCTTAGAGCTCAGCAAGTCCATCCCCTTTGTTTTCTAGAGAGAAACTGAGGCCTGGAGACATTATGTAACTTGCCAAGTTCACACAGGTATTAAGTGGCAGAGACGAGATTTGAACTCGAGCCTCTCCTCTAGAGCTTTATCCTTTCCCCTGTGCCACACTGGCTGTTATGGAGGCTTTGACTTCAGAGCAGGTGCTCTTCTACTGCATTCTGCTGTCTCTCGGCCTTATCCCCCTTCCCTTCCTCCCTTGGTAATAGGAATAAGCATTAGAAGGCGCCTTCTGGTACCTAGTGAACACATGAGGGAGAGCATTCTGTAAGAGGCCTAGACAGCCCCTTGCAGGGTCTTCATGCCATATCATTCAACAAGCATTTATTCAGTGTCTACTATGTACCAGGAACTGGGCTAGGCACTGGGGATACCGAGACAAAGCAATGAAAATTCACCTCTTCTCCGTTGAGAAAGAAAGAAAAAAAAATCATTGTTACAGACATGTGTAGTTGAGCAAAACAAGTTACCTCATTGGTTGTGTTTTAAAAAACTGTCTTGGTCTGCCCCTCAACTCCATCAGCCGGGTGGTGGCAGGGGGCAGTGTGGAGCCCTTTGGAGATGTGGCTGGTCACCACATCAGTCCGAGCTCCTCAATGGCTTCCACTGTTGAGACTTTGCTGTGACTGTACAGTAACCTCCCTATTCTGCTCAGTTCACTTTGCATCAGTTCAGAGATCTTCCTAGGTTTTCAGAAACCATCCCCTTCATCATTTCTTTCAGCACAGTCATATTCTATCACGCTCATATACCACAACTTGTTCAGCCGTTCCCCGGTTCATGGGCATCTCCCCCTCCCCAACCCGTTTTTAGGTCTTTGGTACCACAGAAAGAGCTGCTAGAAATATTTCTGCAGCGGCGGGCCCTTTTCCTCTTTCTTTGATTGCTTTGGGGCAAAGACCTTGTAGCAGTATTTCTGGGCCAAAGGCTTTCCATGGTTTGCTTTTGGGGCCTCGTTCCAAAGTGCTCTCCAAAGTGGTTGGAACAGTTCAGTAGAGCTCCCCCGTCAGGAAGCCTTAGCCTGGGGCTGTTCCCCACTGAGAGCAGGGGCTAGTACTGATGGTTGCATAGCCCTTCTCTCTTCACCACCATCCTCCATCCACGCGCTTCCTGTTTTCCCATTGACTTCTAATCCAGAAAAGTAACAAATTGAAAAGGCAAGGATTTCGCCTCACTGGAGATATTCAGACAGAGGCCAGAGGACCACTTGGAAATTTTGTAGCAGCTCAATTCAAGCAGGGTTCGAATTGAATGTTCCCTGAAATCTCTTCTGACCCAGATTCTGCAGGGCGTAAATTCCAGGCCCTCCTGCTCTGAAAGGGGAGGGGCTGGAGCCCAGGTCATGGCTAGCCTTCGTCGGGGCCTTCTGCCTCCCCTCACTGCCCGCCATGGGCAGGCAGGGGGCAGGCCCAAGCTGCTTAATGGCAGATGGCTCTTGACCCATCAGGTCTCTCGCTTTTGTGTTTTTGAAGCTTGATTGACCGGAGGGGCTTTGTGCAGCCAGACACCGAGTTGCCGTCTCCTAGCAAGAAGGAGGAGCCCACCTGTGAAGCCAAGCCAGACGGCAGCATGGTAGGAGGCCTCCCCTAGAGGAGCTGAGTGCTTGCCAGCCTGCCAGTCCCTCCTCCCTGCACCCACTGCCTCCCTGTGCCTGCTGGACCCGCCTCTGCCCCCTGGGCCAGAGCTACCCAACACCCAAGTCAAGCCTCCTCTCCTTTATTTTGGCACTGCCCCCCCACGGCTGTTCCTGAGCTCTTCTGTTGCTGCCCCTCTCACACCTCAGGGGAATGCCCCTCCACCAAGTCCAGGAGCCATGTGGAAATGGCCAGAGACTGCCTACTGGCTCACAGCGGGGAGCCTGGTCATAGTTGGGGCTGGGGCTGGGAGGGACATGTGCCCACTTTGCCATAGAGAACCAGTGTCTTTGCCTTTTATACCCACGTCTACACTAAGAAGGTCTCGCCCTGTATAGATGGATGTGGGTGTGAGTGGGCTCCGGGCCTTGCTGAAACCATGGGCAGCTGTCACAGTGACAGGGGGCCATGAAGGCTCAGCAGGTTGAAGAGCAGATCTTAGGGCCTGGGACACTTCCCAGGGCTTGGGGGTTGCCTGTGTCTCTTCTCAGAAAGGAGCCAGAGCCACCTGATAGTGGGGGTAGGCAGGGTGTCCAGTGCCAGCAGGAACTTGATTGGGGGTGGGGGCGAAGGGCGTCCCTATTTGAGGCTCCTTGGAACAAGTGAACCAAGCAGTGAGAGCCCTCCCCTCGTTCCCCCCAGTCTGGATCCAGGGACCGTACACCAGGCTGCCCTACCTCCCTGGTGTGGGTGAGTCACACGCACATTCACACACATGCACACAAACACACACGCTGGCAATACTTGAAACGGGTTTTACTGAAGCTGCTGGGTATTTTGCACAATTTTATAGAACTCTTTTCTACATAGAATTTTTAAAAGAAAAAAAATCCTCAGCCCCGTTGTTGTTTCTCTAGTGCTGGGTGGTGTTGGCAAGAGGCAGGTTGGTTTTGTGATTTTGTTACGAGAGACCTTATGGTTTGTTGTAAGTGTATCTGGCTGTGTGTGTGTGTGTGTGTGTGTGTGTGTGTTTTCATTTGTGCATGCCTGGCTGATTGCTTGGATGGCTCCCACTCCCCCACATGCCTGCCCTGCGTTTTGGCTTTTTTTTAAATTCCCACCCCACCTGTGGGGATCTGAGCCTAGCAGAAGCAGGCTGGGGTGCCATATGAGCCATGGGAGCTGAGAGAGTGAATGAGAAAGACAGAGACGTGTGTGTGTGTGTGTGTGTGTACACATACTAGTTGTGAATGGCAACTTGAAGTTCCCGAGGGGGGGCCGAGTCCCCATTCTGGGTGTCCTCCCACACTCCCTTCCCACCCCACACTCCCACCTCCCAACCACTGACTTTGATGTCAGAAACCTGGTGGCTGGGTGACGCCAGGGCTGCCCCCCCTTCCCCAAGCTGGGCTTCCGGCCTGAAATCTGCCCCAACAGGCCAAAGTGCATTTGGGTGGGGTTTTGGGAGTATCAAGAGATTTGAACAATCCTGGAAGAGCATGAGCGGCTGGAAGCAGCTGAGAATGGCAGCTCAGCTGACTGCTGCCCCTCAGCCTGTGACTGGGGGCGGGGGCGGGGCAGGGGCCGGGGCCGGGGCCGCTGGACGGAAAGAATGAGCCAAGCTCTAGCCTGGGAGATTGAGCCCCGGGCTAGCGTTCAGCCCAGCCCCTTCCCTCTATGAGCTGCCCAGAGCCGTAGCCCCTCTTAGGAGTAGGTGAGAACCTCAGGACTGTCCTGGGTCCTCCACCCATCCATCGAGGCCTTTTAGCTGTGGGCCTTCCACGATGCTGCAGCACTCCCATTAATGGTCCCTCCAGGCCAGGGGGCAGAGGCTTGAAGAGCCAGTTTGTCTAGAAGTGGCAGTTGCCCAGGGAACTCACGGAAAGCTCAAAGTGGCCTGGGCGTCAGTATCCTTGGCCCTGCAGAGGAGAACGGGGGAGCTGGCTTGGGGCGGGGGGAGCCCATCTGCCTTTCATTGAGGCCAGTGTTCTTTGTTCCTGCCTGTAATAAAATTTTTATTTTTAAGAGTTGATTTGCTTTGGTTGGCTTTATTTTTCCTTTGAAAAAGGGGGGAGTTGGTGGTGACTCTGCTTTTCCATCCAAGGTCTGGGTCTCCTCTAGGGAGGCAGAGGGAAAGCAGAGCTTTGGCTGGTTCAGGCCTGTCATCTCACCTGATTCAGCTGAGGTTGCAGAGCACCCAGGCCAGGGTAGAGAGAGCCAATGACTGGAACCCCCAGAGTGGGGATGGAACCAAGGACGTCTAGGCTTTGGCAGGAAACATCTTGTTTGTCTATCTTCTCCATCTCCCTCATCTCCCCCAAATTCTCTCTGAGGTCACAGATACCCCTTCTCCTTTCTGCCACCATCTTCATCTGGTCCCTCCACTCCCAGTAACCTCTGAGTGAGTTTGGAAGACCACAGATCCTAGTTTTGGTGTGGGGGCTGCCCCCCACCTCTGTGCCCAGGGGAGAAGTGCCAGGCAGGCATCTCTTAACACTGGCACTCTCCGGTATCTCCCCTCCCAGGAGGACACCTGTCAGGACTTTGCCATCTCCTGCACAGCCTGAGGGGACCTAACAGGCCTCCTTGCTGAGGGTTAGCTGGTAAGATCGTGCCTTACTCCCCCACATTGGTGCCCACCCCTCATCTCACCTTCATTGCATGCCTCACAGAAATTGTTCATCTGTCTGGTGTGGTGTGTTGTGTGTGTGAGTAGGCGCTCAGTAGGTGGGCTGGCTAGGGGGAGCTCACCTCAAGCTCCCCCTGCCCCATAGGAAAGAGGATGGAGGGGCAAATGGCTTAGGCTGGGAAAGTCAGCAGCCTCTCCCACGTAGCATGATTATGCTTTATGGGGAGCAAGGTGGAGGACCCTGCTTGTCCCTGGGAATTGGGTCCTGATTGTGCTGGTAGCCCCAGGATAGAGGTGGTGGGCTCCCCTCTCAAGCTTTTCTGGGCTCCAGCTAGAGGAAGCTGGAGCAGGGGAGAGCCTGCTACCATGTGGCTAGTGTACAGGCGGTTCTGGTGGCTTTTCTGCCCCACGGAGCATGGAGACCCTTGGTCTCTGACTGTCGTCCATCTTGGCTTTCTCTCCCCTGCAGTACTTTTGGCTTGGTTTTATTCATTCTTTGCTCTTCGTGCCCTCCACAATCCTTGCTGTTTGGGAGGGGGTCCGCCCCTGTCCCAGTAGCCTGTGCTCCCTTTCCCCAGGCCTCCTCCTCCTGCTCCTGCCTGAGCTGGTTTACTTCTAACCTCTCTCTTCTCCTTCCTTGCTGTCCCAATGATGGGGGAATTCCAGTGTGCGAGGGGCCTTAAGGAGTTTTTGAGGACTGCAGCCTTCTGCCTTTCTGGGAGAAGCCCCGAGAAGGCAGGGCCTCCAGGATCTCCCCCTGCCTGAAGCCTCAGCCCATCTGCCACCGTCTGTGCCTCCAGGGTCTGCTCCCTCTGCCTCCTGTATGTCTGCTCAGCAAGGGTCCCGCCTGTCCCCCCACCTCTAGGGGACAAAGACCCAGCCCCAGAAGAAGTCTGTTGGGCACTTCCCCTCCCCACCCCCTGCCCTGCCCTGCCCTGCCCCTGAGCCGAGACCCTTCCTCTCCCAAATTGTTAGAAGCCATAAATTAGCTGCTAAACCAGGAAGCAATCCCTTCTCTCCTGTTTCCCAAACTTGTAAGGAGCCAGGGCCCTTCAGAAATCTTGCCTTACTTCCCCCCCCACCCCCAAGCCTAGGCACAGCCGTTGTCTAGCTGAACAAGTTTTCTTAGGAGTCTTTCGTGCTGATGATGCTGTTGAACAGGTTAGGTGACTGTTCTAAGCACCGGTGGCCTAACTCTGTTCCCACGATGCCACCAGCCCCCCACCCCCTTTGAGATTCCAGGTGATACCAGTGCCCTTTGTCTCTCGCTCTCTGGTCCCCATGGAAGAAGAGGGAGCTGCGGGATCAGGCCTAATACCTTCTCTCAGCCAGCCTAGGACTGGAAAGGGGTGGAGGGAAGATGGGTTTGGGCCTGCTTGTCTCTGCCTTTGACCTTTTTTTGAACCAAATAAAGATTCTTCTCCTTGCCGTATAATACCTGCTTTCTGCCGCCTTTACTCTCAGGCCATGGGGCCCACTTGTTCTGAGGGAGAGAAGTACTGGGGGTAATGTCAGCGACCCCCAATGTGACAGCTTAGCTGGGTGGCAGTGAGAATTTACAAAGGGCTCACCTCGTGGTCTCCCCATAAGATCAGTGGTCCAAAAGCTATTTTCCCCATTTTATAGATAAGAAAACAAAGGCAAAGTGATATGACCTGTATCTAGTTCGTACTGTGTCTTATCAAAAGCCGTCAGCCAATGGAGCGTTTTCTTGATTCGGAGCTGGAAGGGACCACAGAGTCCAGCCCCTTCCTTTTTAGACGAGGAACCTGCCACCAGGGACGTGAGATGACTGGTCCAAGACAGTCAGGCCTTGAACCCAGACCATCCTGACTACAAGTCCGGCCTTTTGTACATCAGACCATGCAGACTCCTGGTTCTGAAGGCCAGCCCTTGTCACCTGACAGACAGCCAAAGAAGCTGAGGGCAGGGCATCCAGCCTGGCCTCCCTCCCTCCCCTTTTCCAAGGACTTGTGATGGTCATCCTCGTGTCCTAAAAATGGCCGGCCTGGGCCTAGGTCTGGGTGCTGGTGGCGCTGCTGAGCGCTGTCAGCCTGGGGCACGAGGAGCTCGCCAAGCCCCTGATCTCTAGGGAGCCTGACAAACATCTCTGGCTTGGGTCATCCTGACTCCATTGTACCATCCAGCTCAAACAATGTCTGCTGTCCCATCTGAACCTCACAAGAGCTCTGGGAGGTAAGCTCTGTTGTTAACTCCATTGAAATGAGTAGCCCTGGGTCATACTCTTACTGAGTTTCAGAGGCAGGATTTGAATCCAGGCCCTCCTGACTGTAAGTCTAGTCCTCTATGTACCACACCAGGCTTTGGGGAAAGCCCTTTGTAACTTTTACAGGGCTGTGTATATATGTGTATATATCTGGACATATGTATGGATGTATATGTATATATATTTATATTTCAAGGTTTCACAAACACTATCCCATAGACTGTACATAGACTGTCACAAGTTGCTGTGGCCAAAAAATGTCCTTTCCTGGTGCTAAGCCAGATCCTACGGTGACGAGCCTCTCCATGCTTCTCAGAAAGCACATGCAGTCTCTCCCCAGGCTTCTGCTGGAAGTCTTTCCAACTTGGTAGGGCCTACTAGAACTTACCACAACTAGACCCTTCCCAGGCCCAGAGTCACCTCTGTGACATAAAGAGGCGTCAGAGAAGGATGTGAGTAGAGATGTGAGTTAGTTCAGCCTTTCCAGTCAAGAACTCTTCCTGTTTCTGACCTAAATCCCGTCTTTCCCTCGCAGGGCTCGTTTTGAGAAGGCCTGAACAGCCAGTGGCCACCTGCCTTCCATAGAACAGCCCTTGAGTGCCAAAGCAAAGCCTGTTATTATCAGTTAAAAATTATTGGGTAGCCATGTGGCACTGAAGGCTTGGGCCCTGCCCTCCTAAAGGGGATGCTCTGAGCAGGGGAGGGGAGGCAGGATGGGGAAAGTGACTATTTCTGCTGACATAGGCCACTGAACAGGGTGTCTCAGGGAGCTGTGCTGGGAGAGGCCCATCTGGACCTCCCCAAACAGCCAGGCCCGGGCCTGCTGCCTCCTCAGTGATAAATGGAGGCCTGGAGGCGCAGGGAGGTGCCCAAGACAGGAACTGAGTCAGAAGTCAGGGAGGTACAGAATCCAGGCATTCTGACTCCCAGGCAAACTGAGGAGCCTGAGAAAAGTTAAGGGGCTGCCCAAGGCCCCTAGCTGCCAGGGGAATACAGGATGTCTTACCTTGTCCAGAGTTAATAACTGCCGTTTATAGTGCCTTTTAATGCATGCAAAATGTTTTACACACAAACTTTTTCCTCTGGGCCACACATCAGCCCCTGAGGATAGGACTTCAAGAATGAGAGCAAGGAGCTATCTAAACCTACCCCTTCGTTTTACAGATGGGGAAACTGAGTCTCAGAGAGTTGAAGGGGTATAGAATCATAGAACCAGAGCTGGGAGGTCATCTAGACCTGTCCCTTTATTTTATAGATAAGGAAACTGAGATTCAGAGGTGGTGACTTGTTAAAGGTCACACAGCTAATAGTCTGAGGCAGGCTTTGAACCCACATCTTCCTGACTTCAGAGACAGTGCTCTATCCACTGTTCTAACCTGTCTCTGTTAAAGGAGAGGAGGTCACATTCGATGGGGGTGAGGGGTGGCAGTTTGGAGAGGTCAAGGAAAGCCTCATGGAAAAGATGGCCCTGTGAGTTGGGCCTGGAAGAAAGATAAGTACTTCAACCCCTGGGACGGAGTTGACAAACAGTTCATTCCAGGTATATATTGAGAAGGGCGTAAGACAATATTGATGAGAGGAACCTTAGAGACATCAAATTCAATTCTTTCATATTGCAAATAACCTCCAGAGAAGGGAAGTGACTGAGTAGCCAGGTAGGCAGTGACAGCCAGGACCAGAAGCCAGATCTCATGACTGACGGTCAACAAACATTTATCAAGTGCTGCTATGTGCTGGGCACTGTACTGAATGCTAGGTATTCAAAGAAAGGCAAAAAACAGAAACAAAACAAACACACCAGTCCCTGCTCTGGAGGAGCTCACAGGCCGATGGGATGACAACGTTCAAAGAGCCATGTACAAACGGGATCTACATGTCCAGGATAAGCTGGGAAGAGGCAAGGCTTCACCATCCAGCATGCATTCCCCTCTACAGGCTGGGCTGTAATAGGATAACTGACCTGGGGAAGTACAGTCAGAACCCAGGTTCCTGAATCCCTTGGGCCAGCCCTGCCCTCCTCCAGCATTGCTGCATCCTGAGATGGAGAACCTGAGGAGTGACTAGCACTCCAGGAAGGTACCAGAGAGCTCTGGAACCAATCTAGGCCAGGGAATGGGGTGGGGGAGGGAAAGGTGGGAGTAAAACAGAACTGATCCCAGGATCAGCTCTGCACCTGAAAAGGCCCTTAGAACAGGGGATGTCAGAGCTTGGAGGGCCCTTAGAACAGGGGATATCAGAGCTGGGAGGTATCCTTAGAACACAGGACGTCAGAGCTGGGAGGTACCCTTAGAACACAGGATGTCAGAGTTGAGAGGGCCCTTAGAATAGAATGTCAGAGCTGGGAGGGGGCAGGGATGGGGTGGGGGACCCCAGTATTTATAGCTACTTAATTTTACAGCTGAGGACAATGAAGTCTGCAGAGGGAAATGTCTTGTTCAGCGTTAACAAGGCCAGTAGTAGTGCTGAAATTCAAGCCCAGGTCCTCTGGCTACAAGCCTCGTGGTCTCTCACCTACCCTAAAATCTCAGAAGAAAAACTGGGGACAAGCCCTACCCCCCTTCCTTGGCCTGGCTTGGAATCCCAACCCCAACAGGGGAAGGAGAAAGGCCCTGGTCTGGGGATTGTCCCATTACTGAGGATGCCACATGGATTGTAGGGACTTCACCTACACCCATGTGGATTCCTCCTGTGACCAAGGTCTTTCTTACTTCTAACCAAAATCCCTCCTGATTCACCAGGAGTCTGTTCCCTCTGGCTAGGCATGACTCCATCTTTCCTCAATAGCAAAGAGGCTGCTGTCCTGAGCAGGGAAGGATGGCTCATAGTGGGACATCAAACAGATCTCGGCAGTGGCTGCACCAAGAACAGGCCCTTTGTGCCCACATAGGTGAGTACTAGGAGAAGCCAGGCTGCTTAGTAGCCCTAGCATAGGGACCATTAGAGGAACTGGAGGAGAGGAGCCCAGACAGATCCCAGAGCAAGAAGCCTCACCCCTGAACGCTAGGCCTGCTCTTTACAGAGCTGTGGGGTGGGGCTAGATAAGCAGGAGCCCCTTGCTGTTCAGTGGTCACCCCCACCCCATAGGCAATGTGCCAGCTCCCTTAGGTGTGGCTCTCCATTGAGGTGGAGCCAGAACCCCAACTGGAAGGAAGGTGTGATCCAGTGGGGCCTGAGGGTATAGAGAGGGGATGCTGCTACTTGCCCTCTGAGCCAGGGGGCCATGAGCACAGGACAGGAACAGAAAAATGTCTGTGAAATAAATTGGAAGTGATTCAATAAAATCCCCGTCGGAGTCCTCATAAAACAAGACCATGGCCATCCATAGTGTCACCACTGCTTGCCCTGGGAGTCAGTGATGCCCTCCCCAACCAAAATGGGCCCAGAGCCTGGGTGCCCTGTTTGCCAGCCTCAGACGAATCAGTGGAGCCTGGCACTAGGTCAAAGGTGAGTCAGAGAGGAAAGTGGGGCAGCTGACGAAGTCGGTGACCCCACCCTCTCCTGGGCGCCCACATGAGCCTCCCTGATACTCTATGGCTTGGGAGGGTGCTACCAGACACCTAAGCATGGAGCCCAGCCAGAGCAGTGTCCCCAAGGAAAGTCCTCCAGCCAGTGAGAACCCACTGCTGAGTTGAAAGGGAAAATTGCAGTGTAATGGGGATGGTATTGGGCCCAGCTGAGGTGGCTAATTACAAAGGATGGGCCTAGAGCGTCCTCGCTTGTTAAACTCATCTTTAAGTGGCACATGGAGATGCCACCTCAACAATCTGGGAGTGGGGGGTGGAGATTTAGGGAGCAGGGCCACAGGGACTTTGCTTAGCTTTAAGGGGGCTTCTCATGATATGATGCCTAAGGCAGAGAGATGCCTGGGGGCCCCCAAGAGGGATCAGCAGGATCCAGCACTGCCCATTCACCATGTATATCCACAACTCCTGGCACACTGCAGGATGCTGCCAGGCTATGCCCACCTAGTGTCTGTGAGGCAGCTAGAGCACTTCCTCCAATGTCTTCTAGACCCAGGGTAGGGGCTGAGTAAGGGCAGAGTTTGTCGGAAGGCGTCCTGATATACTACCTTTAAAGCCAAAAGATCTGCTTCTGTTAAGAGGAAGCTTTGTCACAAAGAGACACATTCTCTATCTCACACACACACCAGAGTATCCACACGCTCCCCCACCCCTACCAGGCACATAGGCCAATGTAAAATAGGCAATGGGCAGGCCAATAAGGGACTGACCATTTATTTCCTGAAAACTAGTGGGGTTTTGAGAGATCAACTAAACCTCAGGCTACTTCCTAATCCTCGAACTCCCTACCTCTCTGAGTCGTGGTGAAGAAGTCTATTATTGTCAATTTTAATTGGGACATAAACATGGGAATTCAGAGGAGTCCCCTGAGCACTGCCGACGCCATGAGAGAGAAGGCAGGGGGAGCCCCAGGTGGCAGCTGCCGTAGGTGGGGCCCACGCCTGTCTTTCTCCTTGCTGAGCATTCCCATGATGACTAATGCACCTCTGTCCTGGCCCCTTTACCTTTAAGGAGCAGCCAGAAAAAAAA